TCAGTTCTTCCTGCCTTTAGATGTGAAGCTCAGTAAGATTATTCTAAGAGATTTGGGGGAAATCCAACGTGTCTCCTTGAGATTGCAGGCTGCTTTCATTATTTGTATGGGAGCAGAGGTTTTGTATGCCCCCTGTATCTTACCTGGCGCTCTTGTCAAATGGACCTTTGGAACAAGTGCTGTAAAGGGAGAATTGTCTTTGTTGCACCAAGTTATTGTACAGTTTGTTTCATCCCAAGTGATACATTTTTTATTCAGTATAGCAGAGTCTTCCGTTGAAGCATGAGAACCAGCGGAGTGGCCGCGAAGGCTGCAGGGTGGGCAGATATCTCACGTGGAACTGACTGTGCAGTTGCTGGAGTGAGCGTGGGTGCTGTGAGCCACACCTGTGCCCTGTCCATCTGCTCTCTTGTACATTCGCTGTACTCACGACTGCATGAAGTGCTTGCCGGCCTTTTTCCAGCGCTATCCCAGAAATCAGCCATCATGTGGAGGAGCGTTTCATTTTCACTGGAGTAACCTTACTTCCTTAGGACATCAGCATCTGACAAGGGAGAATCTTACCCCAAACCAGCTCTTTCTTCTCTTCTGAGAAGTGAAAGGAAACTTGCTTTACCCCAGTCCGCCTCCGATAAAGAGCTCATTTTTAGCCATAGGATGGCATTTACTAAAGCCAGCAAATAACTGGTCTGTGTTCACACACATCCGTGGAGGGGCGCAAAGTGATAGTTTCAGAGGCTGAGCTGAAGGGCCAGGCGTTCCTTCCAGAAATGCTTGTGTTCTGGAAGCCATATGCAGTGACTGTTCTAAGGGTATTTCCCGCTGAGATCAGTGAAATATGCACGATGTATCTCTTGTACTTACACCAGGATGCTCAGCTCTGTCTGTTTTAAACAAATATTGGACCTCTGGAATAGCTTTTTGGGTATAGATTTTGCATCTGTGAAATGAGACAATCAGTCTGGATTATAATCTAGGGATCAAATGTGATACCGTGATTCTGAACTTGTCTGTGCCACCTTCAGGTACCTAGTTTCAGTGCATTAATAGTGTTCCATTCACCTTACCAGATCTCAGATTTTGGCTTAGTTTTTCCAAGCCCTTGAATGTGGTTTGTAGAAGAATTCTCTGGGGAAACCATTCAGAACATGGTCAGTTTATTTTCAACTGGCTCATCCCATGAATCTGGGTCAGACATTTATTATGAGAGTGCCGGGCTGTGCATGGGAACTTACAATGGTTTGTAGCAAGGGTGTTCTGGCTTTAGGTAGCATACAGCTAAGAAACTTCATGGAAAGGGGTAACTGTTCCTTTAAATCTTAGGGTTTGCCAGTACGAACGAAGCTGTACTGTACAGATTCTCTCTGGAGCCTGAAACTGTTTCCCCGTCCGTCTGCCTTCTCTGAGCAAGTATCTGACACACATCCACAGCACACACACACACACACACACAGTGATTCTTTCTGTTTTGTGATGTTTGCTTCCTGTCTCATTTTTTTCACTGCTGGCTGCATAACTCTGGCAATACCTGCATATGCCTGTCACCCATTGGCAATACGCTGGGTGACCAACTTCTCAAACAGCAGGCAGATTTCGACTCGAGGTGGACTGAGTGAAAAGCGAAGACGGTGTGTGATTGGCCAAGAATGTGATCATTTGGTCCAGGATTTTGGCATGATTTTGACTGCAAAGAATGTGTGGCTCCTTCCAGACTGACAGTTGTGTGTCAGGTAGTCGAGATTGCTCCAAATTGCCCTTCAAATAAAGTAGAGCTTACTGCATGTTGTATGCATTCTGCATATCAGCATGCACATGATTTCAGTAAAGCACGACCTGAATTCACACGGGGTAATTCCACCGTCGATATGTTGTTCAGACAAATGAACGTAGCCAACTGGGCGGCAAGCGTGGATTCCCAGTATTAGCACAGTCTAATGGATAAATGCAACGTGACACAATTTATTAAATGCAGCCTAGTTTATAAATGCATGCACGTACCTGTGTGTGTTGGTTTTCAGGAGAAATCTCAGCCGAGGTGTACTTTCTTCCACACATCTGGGATGCTTTAGTAGAGTCTCATATTTTAGGGCTGATAATGGCCCATTAAGGTCTTTTGCTTCCATTGTTTATTTTATAGATGAGAAAACAGACCCAGGGAGAAGTGAATGAAGGCTGAGTTGAAACGAGAACCATGTGCTGGTGCTTGCATTTACTGGTCACACTGAACACTAGGTGGCGGTCTAGCCCTGTGTTCGGTCTCAGTTCTGCAGGCTGCGTGCCTGGGTTGGGATTCTGCGAATGGCGAGGCTGGCTGGAATTCTGCGAATGGCAAGGCTGGCTGGAAAGCAGGCTCTGTCCCTCTTTGACCAGCCGTGCCGCCTGACTCAGATGATGGCATGTCTGCATATGAGGTTATTTCTTTTGGCCTTTACTCATAACTAGGGATAAACATGTTTTCAAACAAAAATCAAAATACGTAACAGTCAATATTGGGCTTTAAACTCCAGTAGGGACGGGGACCAGTCATTCTCTGACACACTACGTCTGTGTCTTTTCTGTTTTCTCGTCGGAAATGAACTATTCCTGTCTTTCTTCTGTAGTAGCAACCTGCTTGTCTCCGTTATCTCAGCCACCTGCCACTGGAAACCCTCCGTTCCCCTAGCAAATGGTGTCTGGCAGTCACATGGCAGGGGTGTGGGGGGCTGCACCCCTGGAACCTGATGGCAGTTTCTGTAGAATGTCTTGTTATCAGTTGATTAGATCTTGGTGTTTTTCTGCCAGACAGGGTGTTCCTCGAGGGCCAAGATGTATGCACTTCTGTATTTGCAGCATCAAGTGCATTGTCTGGAGCAGGGTGGCTGCTGAGAGGAAACTTGTTAGTTAATTGGATATATAGATGTATGGATGTTTGAGTGTTTAGATGGAAAAAGGTAGAGAGAGCGAGAAGGAAGGGAAAAGAAGAGGTAGAAAAGAAGAATGAGGGAAAAATGAAGGGAAGAATATTATAGTGGGTTGATGGATATATAGTGGGCAGATGAGTGTGTGGGTGGGTAGATGAGGGTGTATGAATGGAAGGGTGAAGACTGGTGAATTGATGGGCAGATGGATGATGGTTAGATGGATAGATGGGTGGATGGATAGGTGAATGGGTGGATAGGTGGATGAACAAATAGATGGGTGGGTGAGTGGGTGGATGGATGAATGGGTGGATGGATGGATGGATGAATGATGGATGGATGGATAGATGGATGGGAGTGGATGGATA